AAAAAAAAAAAAAAAAAAGAGCAGAAGAGTCTCATTACAAAACGAAAGCTATACCAGTTGAGGGAGGGATGAGGATAATGATCAGAGGATTATTAGGGAAGTTTTAGGTCATCGTATAAAGACAATAATAGAAGGTTCGTACCTTTAGGTCTGCTATCTTTTGTTCCAGTTCGGTCCTTGTCTTAATTGCATTTTCTTCTTTCATTTTGTCCAGTTTTTCTCTGGCCGAGGCCTTCAAGAAAACAATCCAAGCAAATATTAAAACTGCTACACACCTTCATATTCTAAATGGGTTGATTTTTATCTCAGGAGTGCATCAAGTAAAGGAACTACTGGAATCTTATAATAAGGGCGTTATGTTTTGAAAATGTATTTCCAGCCTTGTGGGAAGTTAGAGTTGTATCCATRTAATCGTATCTTCTCAAGAACGTTATAGGCGACAACGAAAACAAAAACAAACAAACAAACAAAAAATAATAATTACATCCAATACTCGGTGTTTATAGGGGTGGGGGGTTTGTGTACAGCATGTTATAGGCCCTTACCTCGTCAGCAAGGTGTTGATTGACTTCTTCTAGTTTCCGAGTTATTTGAAAGCGTGACTAAAGACAAAGAAAAAAAACATTACAAAATGTATCCAACAACAGAGTTCTTGGGCGTAATGTTTTCTCATTTCAGACCACGTGTCATTCTCTTGAGAATAAGAATCTTTATTTGTATTGTATYGTATTGTAYTGTACTGTATTCATAATCACGCGTCTTCTCATGCGCAACCATTAGACAAAGAAATGATACTCTAGGGAATGACAGGTGGTCTGAAATGGGAAAACATTGCACCCAACGTAAAGGTATGTATAAAAAGTTCTCCTAAAAATAAGTTACCTTCGTTTCTATCTCTTTTTTGAAGGCATCCAGTTGTCCCTTTTCAACATAATTACTTTCATAGTACGCCTGGATTAAAAAGATCAGTGTAAATAAGAAAGATTTAGACATGGTGGGATACCTGTGGTACAGGAAACCCAAACTAGAAAAGCTTATTCTGCGTACTTACCCTTGTACGGGCAATTTCTTCTTCTAATTGACGATTGGTTCTCTCCAGTCTCTCGCGTTCGTAGGCCATTTCCTTCAAACAAAATAATATATTTTCAGAAAAGATTCTTAAAACGTTTGATCTTTTTTGAGCATTCTCTACTTTCACATCCCCATAATGCCTTGCGTCTTTGGGGGGTAACCAATCAAAAAACTGTCCCAAATTGAAAGGTTTCTTAATTGAATTTATACTATACCTGCCTTTATCTGTACAATACTGATTATCAGTTTATTCCAAGTTATTTTTGCGTGTACAGATCATCAAGAGTTTTGGTCTTACAGAAAATGTATTGACTTTACGAAAATGTTTTAAAAATTTACCTTAAACGTCTTCAAGCTTCTATCTTTTTCTGTTTTTTACTTCTTCATTTTATTTTTGGATACCAAACAAGGTATTGTCAACATTGTCTGATCAGCCTTCAGCAAAATAAGTGGGTTTTTACCCTCTGTTTACCCCCCAAAGATGCAAAGTATTATGGGGATGTGAAAGTAGAGAATTAAAAGAATTGGCGACTTTTACCTTTTCATTAGCCTTCGCTGTGGATGTTTCTAAATGTTAAAATAAAATTATCGTTATCATTGGAAGGTATCAAGTTATCTAACAAAACCAGATGTTATCAATACCTTGCTGTTGCTGTTTATTGGTTAGTTCGAGTCGTGTTCGGGTTTCCATCTCTTGACGAAGCCTCTCCGAGAGATGATCGATCTGAAAAGAAYATTGTCATGAGAACGAGGGTCGAAAGCTTTTTCTCCATTAATAGGTAAAGAGATCTATCGAGATCCGAGTATTTTTTACCTGTCGTCTTAGAGAGGATATGTGTGATTCTGTAGCAGCTCGTTCTTTGTCGAATTCACTTCGTATACTCGGAATGCGTCCTTCCGAAGTCTCGTATTCCTAGTGATTAAGGGAAAAGAAAAATGAATATTGGTTAGTAAAGAAATAAAAGACGGAAGAAGAAAGAAAAAGGAAAGAAGGGTAGAAAGGGAGGGAAGGAAGGAAGAAAAACAAATAAAAGAAGTACAAAAAAGTAGAATGTACTCTCCACTGTACAGTATAATGGGCTTATAGTAAACTGAGGGAAACATTGGGATATATCAAAGATTAAAAATAAGATAAAAGGAAAAGACGAAGAAATAGGAAARAAAAAGAGCAACATAAAATGAAATAAAAATAAAAAAAAGGAAGGAAAAATAGGTCGAGGAACTTAAAAGCGAAGGGAGGGGGAGGGGGGACGGACGGATAGAGGAAGTAAGAGGTAAAATAGTATAAACATTCATCAGTCAAGCATTAGCGCCTTCCATTGGGTTTGGTGATATTACTACGCGACGTGAAGAGTGAAGAGTGAAGAGTGAAGAG